ATGTTTGTATTTTTGTTCTGTCAGCAGTATTGATGTTTGAATCTTTGCTCTATCAACAGTATTGATGTTTGTATTTTTGTTCTGTCAGCAATATTGATGTTTGAATCTTTGCTCTATCAGCAGTATTGATAATATTGATGTTTGTATCTTTGCTCTATCAACAGTATAGTTGTTTGTATCTTTGTTCTGTCAGCAGTATTGATGTTTGAATCTTTGCTCTATCAACAGTATTGATGTTTGTATCTTTGTTCTGTCAGCAATATTGATGTTTGAATCTTTGCTCTATCAACAGTATTGATGTTTGTATCTTTGTTCTGTCATCAATATTATCAATATTGCTGATAGAGTAAAGATACAAACATCAGTATTGATGACAGAACAAAGATACAAACATCAATACTGTTGATAGAGCAAAGATACAAACATCAATACTGCTAATAGAGCAAAGATACAAACATCAATATTATCAATACTGCTGATAAAGCAAAGATACAAACATCAATATTATTGCTGATAGAGCAAAGATACAAATATCAATACTGTTGATAGAGCAAAGATTCAAACATCAATACTGCTGATAGAGCAAAGATACAAATATCAATACTGTTGATAGAGCAAAGATTCAAACATCAATACTGCTGATAGAGCAAATATACAAACATCAATATTGTTGATAGAGTAAAGATACGAACATCAATATTATCAATATTGCTGATAGAGTAAAGATACAAACATCAGTATTGATGTTTGTATCTTTACTCTATCAGCAATATTGATAATATTGATGTTCGTATCTTTACTCTATCAGCAATATTGATAATATTGATGTTTGTATCTTTACTCTATCAGCAATATTGATAATATTGATGTTCGTATCTTTACTCCTTCAGCAGCATTACTGCCTGTATTCTTACTCTATCAGCAGCACTAACGTTTGTTGCGTAGCTCTGTCAGTTGTGTTTGTACCATAGCTTATCATTAGTTTAAGTTTTACTGTAATTACATTCAACTGTATCATTGTTCTGAAGATAGTTTTGTCGGTAGTGTTAATGCTTGTACCGTAGCTTTGATATTAGTGTCAGTTTCAGTAACGTAGTTCTATAAATAGTTTAATATTCATACCGTACGTTTTTAATGTCTGTAGTATTTCTCTCAGTAGAAGGACTTTGAAAATATAACTATGAGTGTAAAAAGTTGGATAAATCATAACTGAAAGACATTCCAGGGCTTTGATTTAAGGTGTTATGATAATTATTATTTTCTTATGTGAGCTTAATAATTTATCAACATGATCAGTGTAAGCAGAATTCTCCAGAATAACATTTGTATGTTAACGAGATATTTTCAAATAGGTTTAGACAGTTTGATGATGAAAGAGTTACTAACGTCAAGTATATTTCATTTAGTTAAAGTTTATATCATGTTATTCTAACCTTTATATTCAAAGGTTAACCGTAAACTTGTTAAAAACAGGGCCAATCCGTTAGGCTTAGGTACTCATAGTATCTTTGTAAAATAAGCCTACAAATAAATGTTCTTTAAAAAATTTCGTAACGTTGTGTAATTGACCGTAACGTGTACCAATCTCGTAGTCTTGCAGCTGTAAGTACGTCATATTGAAGATATTTTGAATTTGCAAATCAGCCAGTCAGTATAGAGTTGCAGTGGATAGTTACGTATGATAACTCTATTTTGAGATTGCTTGGCGTTTCATAGGTAGTGTGATGCCACTGAAGATTGATTGCTTTTGGAAAAGCAATTTAACAGCCCTTGTCGACGTAAAATATTCATACATTCAGAACAAGACGATTTTTTTCAGAATTTCCATAACGGGGATATACCTTGTGCTTAATGCATTGGAAAACAGATAAATATGTATCAAATTAAGGCACCGAAACTATCCAAAACGAGACCTGCACCAACTCGTTAACAGGCCATCATAACAAAGTGTAGCGTTTTGTAATAGGTGAGAATGTTCGAACACAACAAACTTAAAAGAAGCTGTCCACATGCTCCAGGCAATTGTACATAACATAATCAAAAAGAGTCTCCATATGAAGACATACCAGTAAAGTCGCTCGACGCACCGTCTATGGATTTCTGTTGAAGTAACTGCTGTAAAACCGTCGTTCTCGCACACTATATGGCTTATGTAAAGAAAGCAGGGAGGAGTAATATGCTTTGGACAGGACAGTTTTACGCTGGAGCCTTTTCTAATGTTATCAAGAGGCACGGTCGTCAGATAGAGCATGACCTGAACTGGCGACACATGCAGTAACGACGTGGTGAGGGCCAAAAATTGTTTCAATATAACGTACTCAGCAAATGTAGTTTAGTGCAACAAAGCTTGTGTGAGTTTCGTATGATTTGTTTGTTTGTTTATCGAATTTCGCGGAAAGCTACTCGAGGGCTATCTAGGCTAGTCTTCACTAATTTAGAAGTGATAGATTAGAGGCAAGGCAGCTAATCAATATCACCAATAGAGAACGCTAGGGCTAATCTTTACAAACGAAAAGTAGGATTGGCCATCCACGCGGCTGACAGGAGAGAATTCCAGAGACGGGATTCGAACTCGTGATCCGCATGTTGCAAGTCGCGTTATCTAACCAAAAGGGCTATGCCTGGCCGTTACACAAGTAAACCACCTCTACTGAAAGCAAGATGTCCTCTCTCGAGGAAATGATATTAAACTAAGTTTAGTTTAACAAAATATAATAAAAATATACTTATAGACAGCAGAAACAAAACTGTATAAAACAACTGCATTTCAGAGGTTTAAATGTAAATTAAGACACAAAAAAACACTTTATGTTTCGTACTGTTTTTTTTCTTTATTTACATGTTCTGATTTCAATATTTTCAAGAGATACCGACAAGGTTTAACAAGTTCTACAAAACGGAATATATCTAAAAATCATAACAACACTTTAATGTTTGCTACCCTGTATTGCAGACGATAGCGGTAGTATAATAACAAGGAGCTAAAGGTGTGTAATCCACAATAAGACACTCTAGAACCCAATGAATGACAATCGTAACTACCCCAATTGGAAGTACAAATCCTTAGTCTGTACCCAACAAAAAACTATACATATAAACATATATACAACAAATCATATTTTTCGTATATGGTTTATACATATCAATCTGAAGACGAATGACTTTGAAGCTATCCTAACATAGGTTACTAATTTCTTATAGTAGCCGTTTTGGACCTTTTTCTTCGCTATATCAACCAAGTATTTAGTTTATGGTTTAATACAGATTTTAAAAACAAAATAGAAATTTCTTTTCATTTCCATAGTAACACATCCAGTTTATCTTCTGGCACGATCACTACAAATTTGTTTCATAATTTTAGTTCCACAGGAAAACAATATTTTATTGCATTCAACTCTTAATTAATTACAGAAGAATAAACGTGGTATCAATGAAATACGAGATAATGGTTTCGATTTTTAAGCTCAGAGAAAAACAAAAATCGAAAAATTCAGTTGATGGCTTTAAAATACAAGGGATTGCCGTAATGGTTTCCTAATTTTCAATAGATCAGTTTTTATTTAGTTTTATCACTTTTGTAGTTTGATATACATCTGATAATTATTGAATAAGTAGTTAAATTATCCGTTAATGTAGTGAGAACATACCAATGAAAATTGTTTCATTGAAACCGATTTTGTTGACAATTAATCATAAGAAATGTACTTGTTTATTAAAGGTGATTAGAAGTTGGTTTCACAAAGTAATAGGTCATGATTATTAGTAAACACAAGTAAATTATCAATTGTACCATAACATTATGATATTGGAAAGACTTTATATACATGCGCCAAGGATGCTTTAAGCCAAGTTAAGCCTACTTTACTCATGCTAGTATTAAATGCTTCCGTGGCGCTACTTTACAGCAGTCTTTACAAACTTCCCAACAGCAACTAATTTTACAAATATACAATAGCATAACAGCCTTATATCGTACAATTTTAACACATACAAAAAATGTACACAAATCCTACTGACAGTGAATTAGCATAATATCTCAATGAAATACACAACTTATTCTATGTAAAGGTTTCTAATAACAAACTATATTTCGATCGAAATTAAATTATGAAATGATACCATTAAGGAGGAAGTTTTCATACGTAATCTTTCGAACCAACAACAAACTTTAAAAAATATATTCGCATGTAACAATTTAAGTTTATTAAAGTACTTAAATCATTTTGTTTATATAACACATTATGTACCTAAATAGTTATAGTAGGCTATGCAATAGACAAACCCCATAACAATCACGTCAGAGAAGATAACCTAGTAGCTATGTAGACTTCCCGGTTTCACAGTGTAGTATGTCATCTCTATAGCTTTCGTTTATGCATTCGAGTTCTCGCAAAGGATTATGTTAGACCTGTACGTCAGTTGGTAAGTTTTTAAGCCCACCAAATGCAGCTTTGACAATCTCATCAACGTTTCGTTTTCTGAATCCATAATCTCTAAATTTAGAAAATCTTTCATTTCGCACCCTATTGAGTTTTTCAAAAATACGTTTTCCAAAGTCATTAAATCCAGAACGGTCGATTTCATCAAAATTTTTTTTACCGAAGTTTTTCAACCAAAACTGATCTATTTTCTCAAAATTTCTGTTACCAAAGTCCATAGTCCCAGATTGACCTATTTCATCAAAATTTCGTTTTCCAATGTTCTTTAACCCAGATCGGTCGATTTCATCAAAATTTCTTTTTCCAATGTTCTTTAACCCAGATCGGTCGATTTCATCAAAATTTCTTTTTCCAATGTTCTTTAACCCAGATCGGTCGATTTCATCAAAATTTCTTTTTCGAATGTTCTTTAACCCAGATCGGTCAATTTCATCAAAATTTCTTTTTCCAAAGTCCTTAAATCCAGATCGATCAATTTCATCAAAATTTCTTTTTCCAATATCTTTAAATCCAGATCGACTGTCTTCATCAAAATTTCTTTTACCAAAGTCCTTGAATCCAGATCTATCAATTTCATCAAAATTTCTTTTTCCAAAGTCCTTAAATCCAGATCTATCAATTTCATCAAAATTTCTTTTTCCAATATCTTTAAATCCAGATCGATCAATTTCATCAAAATTTCTTTTACCAAAGTCTTTAAGCCCCGATCGGTCGATTTCATCAAAATTTCGTTTTCCAAAATCCTTAAATCCAGATCTATCAATTTCATCAAAATTTCTTTTCCCCAAATCTTTAAATCCAGATCTATCAATTTCATCGAAATTTCTTTTTCCAAAATCCTTAAATCCAGATCTATCAATTTCATCAAAATTTCTTTTTCCAAAGTCTTTGAACCCAGATTGATCAATTTCATCGAAATTTCTTTTGCCGAAGCCCTTGAGTCTTGATCGGTCGATTTTATCAGAACTCTTTTTAGCAATGGCATTAAATCCATTACGATCAGCTTTATCATAATTACGCTCACCCAAATCATCGAATCCACTGCGATCAATTTCGTCAAAATTTCGTTTACGAAATCCTTCAATAGCACCTCGGTTTATTTCATCAAAGTTGCGTTTCTTAAATCCGCCAAATCCAGCTGTATCAATTTCATCAAAGTTGCGCTTCTTGAATCCACCAAATCCAGCTGTATCAATTTCATCAAAGTTGCGTTTGTTAAGTCCACCAAAACTAGATCGATCTATTTCATCAAAATAACGTTTCTTGAGCCCAGTTTTATCAGTGGTATCAAATATGTGTCTTATATGACTCATGAAATCATGGTTGAGTGTATTTTGTTTTATCTTGTTGACTGACAATTCCGTGTTCTTGTCTTGAACTGGATTTTCTTTTACGTCCGCGTTCACCTTCTCATCCTAAAATACAAATATATTTTGCTATTAGAAAACCACGACACACAAAAAAGCTGCTTAGCTTACAAACTCTGCTTATTTGCATATTTCATTACATGTTTGTTCCAATTATATTGCAATGAAACATTTTAAGAAATAGCGTTTCCAAAATAATTTAAAATACAGATACATTCATTTGTCGCAAGTCAAACAAATCTATTTATCTTCGTTCAAACTGACCTTTTTATAAGCAAAAGCAATTAAAACTACATGTAAATGACAAACACGTTACTGAATATAAATCCTAGAACTTTAGAAAAAAATAATATAATGTTTCAACAACTCTTAGTAAAGTAAAGGAATATTCAAGAAAACCTGAATTTAAACTACTCATTTCGGTTGTTTGTATTTTTAGTTGGAAAAACAAAGTATCAAAAGTTTCACTTGTTTGTTTTCCTAACGTGATTTATTAACCTTTTTGATTCTACGTGTGTTTTTTTTTCTATGATAAATATTCAGTTGCTTATACTCCTGTAAAGGAGTACTGTTTAATTGTTTCCATTGGCTAAATGAATTAACTAACAATTAAGCGTAGTTACTCAACGGCCACATAAACTCCATCACTTAAGTTATTTTCTGTCACATATCTTGTAGATTAAAAAGAAGTAAATAATTAAAACTTTCCAAGATAAATCTGAAATTTAAATTATCAAAATAAGACAGCGGTATGTCT